AAAGAGTGGCTATTTCCAAGGCAGCCCACCCCACATGTGGGAGGCATGCGAGGAGGAAAAAGAACTGGACGGGAACCGTAGGTAGAGGGTTGAAGTGGAGCTTCCCTGTGCTAAGTCATGTCCTCTTGCATCTGCCCAGAACATCCCTATGAGGTGGTGATATCAGCATTTTATGCGGGAGAAATCAGGTCCAGAGAAGTTCAGTGAAGAGCTGAGGTAGCAGCGTAATGTCTCAGGACAGCCGACTTCTGGAGGGGGCTGGACGATGCTGTGGGTAACTGGATTAATGAATTGCTAACATGACTAAACTCAGCACTGTTGGATGACTGGCTAGACTGCATCCCTGAGAGAGCTTTCTAGTGGTATGTTGTAACACATGGACCTCCGCTCTGTTTTATTCAGTATCAACAGTGGATTGAATGAAGATACAGGATGCACGGTTATCAACTGGTATGGAGGTAAAGTTGTAACAGAGAACAACTGTACTAAATAGCAGAACTGGAAATCAAAAACCCTCAAAAAGATCAAATTCAGCTAAGGAAAGAAGTCTTACATGTGGGTACCAATGACCAACTTTACAGGTAGGTACAGGACAAGGCGATGGCCGAGCTTACGAAACAGACCTGAGGGGTTGTTGTACTTGAAACTTACATCCGTATGTTGGTGACGTGGCTACCTGCAGGGCTAGGCTGAATCAAGGGAAATACAAGGATAGAGAAGATGTTGCCCTGCTGCCCTTCCTGGCTCTGGGTGCCCTCCTCATGGATGCACTGCTCGCTAAGAGATGGGGCCTGGCTTCCACAGGACAGGCGTTACAGCATCCTCCTGGAGTCCGTGTAAGTCCTGCCCATTCCCAGCTGTGCTGTCGTGACCTCTTGCAGTTGGAAAGCAGAGTTTTATTCACATAAACAGGATCCTTGCAAACGCACCGCCCACCTCTAAGTCCTCTTCCACCCCGTCTCTGTTCCTTGCATGGAGGAGAAAAGTTGAGTGGGATGCTAAGAAGGGGCCAGGGGAGGCGAGGCCGAGGGGAGAAAGAGAGGGAAAGAAAGAAAGAAATACACATGGATATGCACATGTGTGTGCGCACCTGCGGGTGGGGGAGGTCAGCTGACAGACTTGCAAGGCTCACGCCACAGTGACAAGTGGATATTGTCCCCCTGCCCTCATGCTGTGCCCTGTGGCCACCCTAGACTGAATAAGCACAACGTCAGTAAAATGGTTATATTAAAATACCAACTTCACCAGGTTGATGAGAAGACTGAATGAGATAACAAACGCAAAAACACCTGGCCCTGCATCTGACAGTTACAGGTACAACAGGTGTTTCTTCTCAACCAAAGATGCCTCTTACAAGTAGAAACAAAGTGAAAAGAAAATGAGATCAATGAATGGCAGGTCACTAGTTTCAAGTGAAAGGCTTAGTCACACATTACCCTTCCTCCTCAGCAAATGACCTCGTGAACCTGGGGAAACTGGCCAACTTCTTATAGGAAGAGAAGTGATAAAGTGGGGGTAAAGCGAACCAAAGACATAGAAAAGTGCTGCCTGTTGGATTCCAGCTGTTGGGAAGCTGGACCACCCAACAATCTGTAGAGGCACCAACGTGTGCATTTGAGTGATTCCTGTCATCAGTGTCTGGCAGTCTGAGGGCAGGACTTCAGAATGTGGATGCAGCTCTTGCTCTGAGGTCAGGGCTCTGCAGTGACCGTCAGAGCATCCACAGTGCACAAGCAGGTGGGCTTGTGAGCGTGATAACAGAAAGGAGTCGCCCAGGCAACGGGGGCAGAAGAGAAACCTTGTCTCTCCTGTCTACAGCCTCTTCAATGCACCCCTGCCAGAGTAATCTTCCCAAAGCACCAACTTTATTTCATGGTGAACCTGCTTAAAAACCACACTGGGTCCTAGTGCTTAGAAAAATCTTAAACTCCTTGGCTGGAGATTCCAGGCCCTCCATAATCTTGTTTTGCTTATTTATAACTCAGTCATTTCCACGCCCATGCTCCCGAGACCAGACTAATTTCAAAGCTGGTCCCTAAAATTTGATTCCTTTTTTAATCGTAGTATTTTGCTAATGCTTCTCCACTACCCCTTCCCCACTAGCACATTCTTCTCCCTCCCCTCTGTTCAATTCCTGTGGAAGCCCACGTGGTATTCTGCAACTGCTACAGCACTCAATTACCATCTAGTGAAACAAAGACAACCAACGACAAAACCTGTTCATTCCGGGCCCTTAGCACTGACCCTCATTCTGAATTAGTTTTATACTGTGAACCAATAAACAGATTAGGACCATGCCCTCTAATCCTGTGTGTACCGCCCCCTACCCCCTGCAATGTGCCTAGTACAGCCCTTGGACATAGTGGTAGCTCAACAGTTAAATGAAGGTAAATGAAGTTACCTGGCAAATTCAGCAAGAAAAAAAAAAAGAAAATCACTTAAGCCAGTTATTCGACTGAACTGACCAAGAAATGAAGTCAAAGTAATTGATCTGGTGGTCCCAACAGACAAAGTCTAATTCTGCATGTAGTTATCTTGAAAGTCAAAAGTGTACTGGGTGTGTGATATATTTTAATGTGGAATTCTAACTGAAAAGGAAGGATCATACTATCAGAGGCATGAAATTAGAGGGGATGTCTGCCTTATTCTGGAATCTGTATGTAAACAGAGAACTCACTCTTTTCACCTGATCCTGCTTATCTGGCTGTTATGCAGATCATTTGTTACATAGGTTTATAGGGTGGGTCTCTGTTTCAGTCTTTATTCTGAAAAATATGATATGACACACTCTCAGTTTTACTCAGCATTTCAGTATACACATTCAATATGAAATACCAGAGATGATAGATATTATAAATAAAAACCATGAATAGAAAATAGTCCACTCAGGCCAAGCTCAATCCTTACTTGACTGCTCATTAAATCCTGTTCTAACCCTTACTCCATGGCAGTAAAAGCTTTTTAAAACTTACATGTAAGACCACCTCAGTTAAATGTCACTGTCTACAACTGTCAGACTTCACCCATCTGTCAAATTATGGAACGCCATAAGGGAATATTTGGAGTGGGGGGAACCCAACTTTCATAGAATAACCTGCAAATCATAG